CAAAATGGTGGTGGCTAACCAACCGGACATAGTGGTGGTAGACAAACAGAAGAAGACGGCCGTAGTGATCGATGTAGCGGTTCCGAATGACAGCAACATCAGGAAGAAGGAACACGAGAAGCTGACGCACACAACCCACCGCCACCCCAGCTCCTCTATGTCATGTTATTCGTGTTGCCTCTTAGAATTTCCATGGAGAGGTCCAAACAGAGCAATACTGAATAATATTAATTACTGCAGATTGAATAACAATTCATCTAAAATTAGAGTATATAAGGAGGTGTTTTTTTATTAATAAGGATCTGTTGTCTGTTTGCAAATTATCCTTCACATACCTTTTATCACCAACACAAATTGTAAAATTCAGACACTAAAATTAACGGCAGGAAGGTGGCTGAAGGGGTCAGTCTTTTTTGTGTCCTTACATACAATGAATAAGTCAATGCACAATTTGAATATTTAGTTTCCCAGTCTCGAAAAAAAGAGAAGAAATAAGTGGAGAAAAAAAATACAAAGCAGATTGTAGCACAATGACCTGTGCAGTTGAAAAAGAAAAACCAGAAAGAAAAAAGTTTTTAACCTCAGAATACTTTGAGTGCTTTCATGGCCTCAATATGTTGAGTATTTTATTGTTGGCTGCTTCCTTTTATTTATTCCTCATACATGAATTTTATCTGTATCTCTCTGTTGGCTTTGTCACCCAAGATATTTATAAAAAAAGATGTCAGCCCAATAAAGATTCAGTTAATTCAAGAGAAGGTGAAGTGTTCAAGTAGAGCACGGCATAGGATAAAGACGCAAAGTATTGCCTGTTCAATGCCATCTGTTGTATTTTTGTTTGCACAAAAAACAACTGATTAATCCTTCAAAGTTCTTTGGAAACACTAAAACATGTATTTCAGGCTAAGTGAATAATATTTAAAGGTTACGTGAATAATAAAGAGAACATATATCTTTTCAGTTACTGCCTGTCGAGTTCTGAGAAGCCTTTTAGTTTAGATGAACTTTGTACTCAGCTTGAATTCACAGAAGCTACAATAAGTTTAATTAGAAGCCCAGTGTTGTTTGAAAAAGGAGCAAATCTCCTGTTGCACTGCCGGTGTTTTGCGCACTACGTTGCAATTACTTTAAAGAAACAATGCAGAGGAAAAACGCTCAAGAGACTGTTAGAGACGGATTTCACATGCAGCTTTTTATTGTCATCCCTCTTATCCTGCTGATTTTTTTAACCCTACTTTGCTCTCTTGCAGTTCAGCCTTTTGTTAATTTGTGCCTGTTTGACACTGAAGTAATTGTGTTCATGCTGTGTGTTAAAAAGGCTGACACTCTACACTTAGATTCATGCTAAGCTTATTGTACAGCAGTGACTACATTACACCATGGATCTGATTCTGGCTCCTTCACTGAAATACTGTCTGGTTTAGTTAAACAGGGTGGGTTAGTAGTAACAGACTATATGTCGTAAAAAGGTTTGCAATCAGTTATTAAAAAAAGATGAAAAATATCTGACATCTAACATAAAAACTATATTGTTTTCAAGGTTATTAGTTCCCTTTATCGTCCCCCTCCTGTCTACTTACTATTTTGTCTTTTAGTATCTTCCATGTCAAGTCTGTCGTGTCTCCATTTTAGTTTATGTTTTGTCTGTGTCAAGCTCATGTGGCTTAGTCTCTCAGTGTTTGTGCTTCCTCGTTTCCTTTGATAATCCCGTGTCTCCTGTGCTTCATGTTCAGCATTGCCTTCCCTGTCCTGTTATGCCTGATTTTTCCCTGCTGTGTTTCCCAGCTGTTTCCACTCCCTGATCACCCTCCTGTGTGTATTTCCCAGTTTCTTGTACCTCCTATTGTCATTCCAGGATTAGTTCATGTAATTCGATGTTTTTAGTTTTGTTTTTTTTTCATGTTTAGCTTTTATGGTGGTGGATTATCAGCCCAATAAACGAATCACGTTTTATTAAGATTAATCTGTCTCATTTGGGTCCTCCACATCACACTTCGCATGGTCTGTTTATGAGGCTAAAAAACAAAAAACTTGATTTATTGAGTCCCCGATGCTCCGTGAGTGGTGTGTCGCAAGCTGGGCGACGTATTAGCCAAAGTCCTAGCAGCATTCGCGACTAACGTAAGCTTTGTGTCAATGTGATATTTTAACCTGGAAGTGCCTCAGGGAAAACAAAATTCCTTCTTGCACAATGTGCGTAATACTTTATGTGGGTCGACTGTTCCATCTTGTTACTTTTTTAACCCTCAAATTTCCCATCGAGAGGGCAAATGTGCGTTTATCATCTTCCATATTGGTTCACTGGTTCTGGTCACTACCAGATCAACTGCCCATTTGCACATGTGCGAAGGCAACTTTACTTGGACAAACTGCCCGAAATGCGTTGACAGAAACTTTTCGGGGATTCTGAGTCATTCTACACTCCAGATGCGTTAATTGTGTTAAAATTTTTAATTGTGCTGACCTTGATGTCGGATTAATTTGCGTTAACGCGTTAATTTCGACAGCACTAATATATATATTTTCACATTTTGGTGGTTGTGTCTGTGTTATGGTATAATTTGTCATTGAAGTCAGTTCATTTCTATTTATATAGCGCCAAATGACAACAGCAGCTGCCTCGGGGTGTCGTATATTCAACCATTAATTTTGAAGTCTTTCACATGTCTTCAGATTACATTATGTAGCATCTGCATTTGGCTTGTTCGTGTTAGTTCTATTTCCCATAGAGAGAAATGAGTGTGTAGATTACTGTACATTATTGAATTTACTTCAATCTATAGGGAAAAATAAACTAGCTTTCTTTTTAGCTGTACTTTCTGCTCTTGCTAGCTAGCTGTGTAACAAGGAGATAAACAGAGACAAAAGCAAAAGTCTTGATTTATCTTTGTATTTATTTATTTATTTTTTCATAACAGCAAATGGCAAAGAGAAATGAAGTAACAAGCTGCCTATTGGAAAAAGGTTACTGCATGAATAACTGATTACCTGAAATGTAAGACTAATCCTTTATGTTACATATTATAGTTTTTTATTTTTTAAAAAGTATTTAATGCTGTCTCCTTATCCCTAATCACTTTCCAATGCCTTACACCCAACACCATCAGGCAATAGTGACAGATCCAAATTGCTTCCTACATGATTTTGTTGTGTTCCTTCACATATTTCTTTTCTCTGGAGTTATTTTGGTTGTAATTTCTAATCAAAACATTCTTTTTGCCATAGGAAGAAATGTTGAGATTCCAACATTTGGCTTTTTAAAAACCACAAAAAAAAAAAAACATTTCATATTTTAAATTCTTAAAAGAAACCCTGAAAAACTACATTTTTCCGCTGCCTCTATGAACTTTAGATGACACGCTTACGGAAAGCTTTGGTACTTTAGTGCAGCTTTACATTTTAGTCCAAAAGCTTTTTGTGCTTCTGTACCTCTCATAATTTAAATGTTCAAGGACAGAATTAGTGAGTCAATAAAGCTTTTGTATTTTTTGTAAGTTTAAAATCATACTTTAAAAAAAATGTCCTTCTTTACTCACCTACTTGTTCCTTTTCTCTTCTGCAGTCCTGGAATTTGCCCCTGTCTTTCATGTAAATGCATTTTTATGTGAATGTTTTTTAGGTATGAAGGAGAATTTGTGCAGGGGAAGTTTCAAGGTGTCGGCATCTTCACTCGCTTTGATGGCATGAAGTTTGAGGGCGAATTTAAAAGTGGCTGTGTGGATGGCTATGGTAAGACTTTATATTCTGATACTCACTATTAGATTATTTAGAGATTTTGGATGAGATTGACATTGCCAGCATCTTAGTTTTTGCATACTCTGTTACTACCTTTAAATATGATGTATCAGGTAATTTGGATTTCATTTGGAGGAATTCTTCAGTATTATGTGAGTTAAAAGGGAAGCCTGCTTTATTGCAATGCTGTCTATGAAAAAACATTTTGAAAAGCTTAAAAGTATCTAAATTTGGAAACCTCTGGCTTGTGTTGCTTGCTGGACTTTAATGTTTATGCTTTTTTTTTGATTGTTTAAGTTTTTAAATTAAGGTAGTAATTCAGATGTATGTTTTCAACTAACCCTCCAGTCTCAGTGGTTTATCTGTCTGTGGTTCCAACTACTTTAAGTGTTTTTAATTATATTAAACAGTGAAAGGTGCTAATTGTCTGGTCTGAAGCTACCGTGTGTCTGGGCACAGAGTCTCTGTAGGTAATCAACACATTTTTTATTTGAAGGCTGTTGTGTGGAGAGGGCGGATCAGTGTGTCAGTGTGACAAGTGGTGATTTGTTTGTGCTTGTAAAAAAAGAGATGGAACATAAAGATTCCTCCAGTTTCCTGACAGTTGAAGACCAGAAATCAGACCTGGTTCGAGCGGTGGTTTAAATGTAATTTTTTGTTGATTGTTATTATCCCGAGTTCCCAACTCTCAGCTGAGGTGATGATGTATTTCAAATGAAGAAATTAACTTAAAATTTAAAAGTTAATGTAAAATTAACTTGAAGTTATTGCCATGGTTTCTTATAGCCACATTTAGGACCAGAATTTAGTTGTTGTGAGTCTGAGTAGCAGTTCTATACTGTGTTTGGTGTAAGTAGCACACCAAACATCAGTGTCACATATTTTCCTGTTCCTAACCAGCCTTGAACCAATTCAAAGAGCAAAGGTCATGTGACTGCTCAAACTCCTGGCTACACTGCTGAGTTCTAACAGCTTAACATGATACATCAGATACTTGGGTGGGGTGCTCTGCCACAATACAAAAGGTGTTCAGCTACCCTGAACACCCCCACCCCCCCCAACACTGGCAAAAAAAGGGGTTGAGAATAAAGTTGAGATATTTTGACTACATGATATACATTCACTGGATATGTTATTAGGTACACCTTGCCAATTGGAACCCCTTTTGCCTTCAGAACTCCTTTAATTCTTTGTGTCATCAACAACTGTGCCACATTCAAAGTCACTTTAATCACATTTCTTCCCCATTCTGTCGCTCGGTGTCTGATGCTCAGTGATAGGTTGATTAGATGTTTGCGTTAACGAGAAGCTGAACAGACGTAAGGTTGTATAACAGTTAAATGAACATGCTTACTAAGCAAATTTAAAGACTTTTGAATGAATGAACTACAATACAAATGATATACAAGTTTTCATTTTTTTGTTCAGAATTATTGTGTCGGTGTGATTGTTTTATTTTAGTCAGGCACAAGTAATGTAGGGAAGAACATTTAAAATATGAAGGAGGAGGGAAAGCGGACATTTCTTGTATAAATTCATTTGATGAAGGCTTTTAATGCGTTTTCTTTGCTGCTTTAAATTTTGTTAGCAATTTTTTGGTATTGTATCCACTTTCGTTGTTTTTGTCATGTGATCTCCTAAACACTGAGGCAATATTTTAACATGTTGGGAACTAAACTGATTTAATCTCTTGCTTGTTGGATGAAGCCAGTAGTTGGTTAGCTTAGCTTAGCATAAACACTGCTCTCCTGGCCTCGTGCAAAGGTAACAAAAAACAACTTTCTACCACATTATTTCAAGCCAAAGCTAACACTTTGTTTCTTGTTTGTTACATCTGTACAAAGCTCAAGAGTAAAGATGACAGTCTGTCATTTTAGGGGCTGTTATGTGACAGGCTACAAATAACCTGCTGGACTCCCCAGTAGTTGCCAGGCAACTTGTCCCAAAGATGCGAAAGCAGCCTTCAGAGTCAAAGTCTGTGCTGTGTACATGGACCATCCACCCTTTGAACCCCCTCCTTCTGACTTCTGTGAAGCATAAGAACATGACACGCTGCCAGTGAACATTAATCCAGGCAGCAATTACATTTCCTGCTAAAGCAGACAGTTATTTTCAGAGACAGAAAATTCAAAACAGTCCATAAAGGCAGCCAGATCTGACACTTCTGGCCATGTGTCACTTGTTTGATGAAGTGAGTTGTGTCTCGAGTATGGCTGTTAGTCAGTTTCCTCCGTACCTGTTTGCTTTGATAAAATGCATGATGAGAATTTTGTGTGGTGCAGGAGTGCTGGCGTTTGTGGACGGAGGCCCCGGAGGAGGAGGAGGCACCCACGAGGGTCTGTTTGAGACCAGCCAGCTGATGAAGAGAGAGAACAGCCAGGGAGCTGTGCAGCGGGCGCAGGCGGCAGCTGCCAAGGCCCGAGCTCTGGCCATGTGACGTGGACTACATCACCCACAGTGCCCCAGTACCAGAATCATCCTCCCAACACTACCCCCTTGGTTTGAGGTGTTTAATTTTTCCTTTAATTTTATTACTCTTTGGTTCCTTCTCATCCACTTTTTGTTGGACTGGTAAGTTAGTTTTTAGGATTTTATTCTTATACGTCTGTTCTATCTCTCATTCATGTAACATGCAGTATGCGCAGAGAAGAAATGAATGGCTCCCTTAAGTTTTGTCAACACAGCCACTGAATCAGGATCTGCTGAGCCAAACGCAGATTTAATGTTCAGTTCACACACTGGTGCTAAATCTGTTTCAGGGTCAGGTAATCTGACAAAACACAGAAGTGCATGTGGACGTTTTCCAGTAAACACTGATTTGGTGAGTTTCATGTCAAAAGAATATCTGACATGTGGGTTTAAAGTGACCTAAATTTATTTTAAAAAAGAAGACAATATTTATGTTTCAAAGTGAAAGTGCACAAAAAAATAGTGAGACTTTATATTTCTGAATAAATGAACTATTAACAAATGGTAGATAAACAAAAGTAAAACAAATTATTCTGATTTGATTTAATGTTTATTTTTACTGGTGAATTCTCAAGCCTAACAAATATAAAAGTCATAACTGGTTTAAAACCAAAGATTACATTTTTAATTTTTAATCACAGTTTTATTCAAATTTATTGATGCAAAACTTGTGTTAGAGCTGTTTTGTCTTCAAATATTCAGCAGAGCACTACAGACCATGGCTATAACAAAGGACGTAAATGTGGTAAAAAGTAACTTTATTGCATTACACAGCAGACAACCAACAAACAGGGGACAGGCACATTTTCATTACTAACATAAAAAATACAGACGTATTTGATTTAATAAGAGATTATTCATTTAAAAGTGACTTCTCATATTTTGCCAACCAGGAACAAAAGCAACAGTAGATTCAGTACTCAATTCTAGTCACTTGAATTAGTGTTTCAGCAGCACTGACATGCTTTCACATGGAAATCATTCATATACGTTTAGAACAAAATGTCTAAAAACTTTATTTTATAGGTCTCAGATTTTAATGAGCAGTTTCAAAGAATTCTGCCATGTGATTCTAATTAGAGTCAAAATACAGACCATGAATAAGTGGAACGCTGTTATTTACTTCATTGCTTGAGACAGTGTAGCAGAAGTCAGCTGACACTGCAAAAATATAAACAAAGCTTACAGTTTCAGATACTGTTTGTATAAATGAAATTTACAATTACAAAGAGAAATGAGTTACTGCTTGAGAACTGTCCACATAGGTCACCTCTAAGGAAACTTACACAACAATGGATTGCCTGTTTTTAGTCAAATTAAATATAAGGGAAAACTATTCAAAAAGGTGTCAACAAGCTTCATTCTTACTTACCACTAAATCTGAAATAAATCAATGAAAGGAATGTTTATTTTCATATCAGCACTTGTTTTGAACATTAGCTCACCAGATCAGTACTTTCTGGGTTTCCTACCTTCCCTTTAAAATGTGTGTTTTTTTTCTGACCTCCTATTGGTGCTCTAAGGAGAATACAGATTGTTCAGTTTGAGTCAGAGAGATGTCAGGAGGGCCTTGGTTAGAGACGATGTGAGCAGCGTTTGGTGGTCCTTTTCACTCAGTGCCGTTACAGCTCAGTCTGATTACAGAACAGCAGGAACATCTTCCTCAGTGCCAAACACACAGTGCCAAGCGGCTGCAGCTGATCCCGAATCAGTGGCTTATTATCAGAGAGGAAGCTGGGAGGGGGGAGGATGGGGATTAATAGTGAGGAGAATGGGAGTGCCTGCATTGTCACAGGCTGCAATAATGAGTGCAATTTCTGTTTTGGAGGTGCAATTTGATAATAGCATGCAATTTATGTTTGAAAGCAAGATTTTGCTTCCACCGGCTTTTATATTTGGAGTTGAGGAGCTTCCTGCTCTGTCAGGAAAGAAAGGCTTTGTAGGTGAAAGGGAGGGCCATCTGATGAAGGAGAGGCTCAAATGACTTGAAGGGTTTCATGGGAGAACTACGTGCACCTTTTTCTGCGTGAAATTTGAGCCATTTTCTAAGAAACAGCATTAAGATTATGCCTCTTTTTTTAAATGTCAAAATGTAATTTCAATTTATGTCAAAATCCATGAACCAAAAACATTGTGTATTTTTGCAGTGCAAATCTTCACATAGGCCAAGGTTTTCCAGCAAGGAAAAATATATTGTAAAAACAAACGAAAAAAGTAAGTAGCACATACTTTATGTGTATCATACCTGCTGGGAATCAGTGGCCATCTATGTAATGAGACTGGTGGTGTAGATGTGCTATATATATGTGTGTGTGTGAATGTAGTCGTACTGTTGTGGGTGGGGGTTGGGGTATTCAACGTGTAATGGAGTTAAGTGTCAGTTACGTGAATGTTCCAGTGTGCAATTAATTTGGGATGTGGTTTGGGGGCCGATGTCTTCCCTGCTGACCAGTTTGACAGCGACATCTAAAAGAGCTGAAGTGATGGAGGCATCTTACACCTTTTAATTGGCTTTGGGATCCAAACAGAAACTGTCAAACATATGCGGTTATTAGGGGATGACGTGGGCTGGGTTTCCACTGGAATAATCTTTAGTCTTATTCACTGTATTATTTCAGACAAAAATGTTGTGACTATGTTCATAGAGAATCTTTTAACTTTGTCCTGTATTGTATTTAACTGAATGATCCCATGTTCCTTCACAGTCTTAGAAAACAAAGAGGATAATGAAACCCTTTAAAATGCACCTTAAAACCTCAACTTTGAAAGTTGCCATGTGATATTAACACGGATGACTGTCTCTCAGCATTAGCAAAGTTACGCTTTCTAATGTGGGTATGACTGAAATCATTGGTTCACTGTGATGAGTATTAATTATTAATGAGGGTGTCATCTAAATCCACCCTAAAACAGAATTCACATATTTCAGAAAAAGTCAAACGATCTCTAAGAATGTAGCTTTGAGACAGTTTATGGACTTAAAGAGAGAATTAGGTTACATGCTATCTGCCATAGCTTTTAGAGCTGGTTGGAACATTATAAAAGGAGAATGTGAGGTCTTGAATTAAAATTGATAGTCACAGGAACATTGAACTGTTTTCTTTGGGTTTTTTTTTATTTGTTTGATTTAAAAACAAAGCATTTCAACTCTTAATTCTCACTAGATTATCTAAGATCACTAAAATAAATAATAATACGCTAAGAAATAGTTTTACGTTTTGGTGCCATGTCCACATCTGTGCCAAGTATGATGCTAAAGCCAGATTAAGCTAAGTAGCTTAATTGACTTAACATTGTTCAGTCTTCTCCTAGGCTAAGCTAATTTCCAGTGGGCAGTGAGTGATTCTTAAGTTCTCATATAATTCTTTATGATTACCGTATAAATTTTATTTAACTGAAAGTGTGATATTTTATAGACAAAGCTATTCTGCTCTTTCATGTTATTCCCCAACTTTGTGCAAAGATACGCTAACACTAGGAAATTAGTCAAATTTGACTCTTCTTCAGTTTAAAATAGTGATTGAAATAATTCAAACCCTAAAAATAAATATTTTGTGCACACATTCTGTACACAGGAGAGAGGCTAGAAATATGACTTTCTGCACATTTCAGCATCATTTCAAACAAGGTTCTCCTTTTTTTTTTCTTGCATGTTAGGCTTTTCCGCATTGATTAATCTTAAAATTATTAGGTAGAAACTGAAAACTGACTGCATTTAAAAAACACTGTAACAGGTTAAATGAACAAGAGTCACCTTGAACTGCAGCTGATATATAAGTTGCTTCCAGCTGTTTAAGAAGTCTTTCCTTTAGGCTTGTTTGCAAACACAGCAGCATCAAAGAGCAGCAGGATCCATATCAAAATGTCCAAAGTCACATTTATTCATTTTCTTCAGTTATTTTTGTCAGCAGTGTAAACAGCACATTGTGTCTGATTAGTCCTTACTAGAGACTATTGTGTCTTTAATGGTTAATTCTTTTCCTTCCACAGCTTCAGCAGCACTTTCTCTTATTAAACCCCAAATTATGATCAATTAAATAAAATAATTACTGAATATTAAAATTAATAGCCTATGATTAACCTTTAATTATAATCTATTAGAAGTTACGTCACATACATCAATCCACCATGAGTCTCACTTCAAGTGGTAGCTATAAATTGGAAGTGCTGTGGTTTATTATATTCTTAAAAGGATCATTCATCAAAATGTAAACATAAAGACAAAGAACATCAGCAAAATTCAGACAGTTAATTTTTTATGCAAAAGGATGGAATGAAATAAAGTGAATACCGTTTTAGGTGGGATTTCTAACAGTTTGAGGACTCGATGCTTTTTAAATGGGTTATTTTAACAGTGAAATGCCATTTTTGAGGACAGTTTTCTTTCTTTCTTTTTTACTGAGGCTCTCTGACTGTTTCATTTACACCAGGAATCCATTGTTGTTGTTATTCTTGGTGTCTTGAGCTGCATGTACATTTTAATATTTTCTCTCTCTTTCAAGAGGCATTGCCTGAGTCTGTATAGAGAGAAACGGACACTTAATTCACACACATGTGTGAGGAATGGAGACATAATCAGTGTCTATAATTTCATTAGTTCCACAGTATTTACTTCTCACACTCTTTCACACAAACACGCACACACTTGTGCTTAGACTGTCCTTATGTACGGCACAAACAAAAACAAGCCCATTACCGTAATCACCACTGTAATGAGAAAATAGGGCGAGAGCAATCCAGGGCTCTTTAACAGTTGTTCAACAAGTGAGAGAATCAACACTGCTTATGAAAAATGAGACACAGTTACTTAATCGAGTGCCTGAACAAAAACCTTCTTCTACTGTGCTTTGAGTACCGGCTGACTGTTTTACTTACTCTTATTACTTTGTCTTAAATCTTTTTGTCTTTTTGTGTGTTTTTGTGTTTGTGCTTAATAAAGGGAAAACATGAGTGTGGGGTTGAAGGGCAGCGGTTTACCAGTTTATCACACTGGTGAGATGATTGCCTGATGAGTAACAACCAACTCACTGCCTTCACTCACAGTATGCCTTCATATTTGTTTTGGGTATTTTAAATACCTGAGAGATGGAAACTGAAACATTACACAAGGTTTTTCCAAATATCTGGATTTTAGAGATTTTTTGGACTTTTTTTTTAAGTTTTCAGCAACAAAGGGAAAAAATGGCTCAGGTCTTACATTATCTTGCTGTCGAGATTTTATCCTGAAATACGCCATGAAAATATACAACAATAGCTTTTGTTGGAGTAAAACTGGTGTCTTTAAGGGGCTCTCTGGCAACTTTGTTTGAAATAAGCAGAACTTGCTTTACGTTATAGAAAAGCCTATCAAGCTGCATAATGGGAAATTTAGGATTCGGCACTGGGGCGTGATCCAGACTAGGGATGCATGGCTGTTCTGCAGAGAAATATTTCATGCATGGTTTTCAGTCGTCTATCTGATCTCCGATGGAACAGATATGCTTCTGTTTTAATCAGTTCAGCTTTCTGCTTAGAAGGCAGTTTGTGTTTCATTTGTATTGCACATTTGGTGGTCAGAAAGGCGTGTTTGTACTTTGAGTGTATTTTCTTCCATTTCACGCACATAAATAAAATCATTGTGAATGAGGTGAAGCCAGCACCTCCATACTGTGTAGAAACAGAGAATCCTAGAGCAGCTATTGTGCTGCTTATGTTATGCCTCCTGTGTTGACATAGTTTAAAGTCAGGATATGTCAGCCTCTGCTGACTGAATTTCACCCATTTAAGTGGAATATGAAATTGCTGCAGTACCCCTTTAGAGGGAATAATTGTTGATCCATTAAAAAGACTGAACGTCTCTCAGTTCTGTGTGCTGACAGCCTGATGAGAGCACTTCTGCTAATTCAGCCAAAGGAAAGCTCCACAGATTAGAGGCAGATTAAAGTTTTTTCAGGACTGTTTGGTCAAAGAAGCCAATCAACACAAAGTAAATGACATTTACTGTTTAAGGTAAAAAAAAAGTTATTTGTCAACTGAAAATAGTTGCACTAAAATATGATTACCAGCCTTGTTAAAAAGAACCCTGACTAGTTCAGCTTGTGGCCGCTGTTTCTAAAGCACGCTGTCAAAACACATAGTTTGCTTTTATTGATTTAAAAACTGAGTCGGTCCAAATTTCTAACAAACCAGAGGTTTAAAAATTGTCACAGTGTGCTGCTTTTGTTTGCAATTTCCAGTTAAAAAAAAACAGCTTTCCTGTTGGAGAGGAGGAAGGTGGTAGGAAAAAGACACTCTGCAAAAGACCTGCAATTAGGTTATAGGAACCCATCTCTTTTTGCACTTGAAGCAAAAAGTGTTCAGAAATATTACTGGTTGTTAAAGGATGACTGAAGGCGCCAGTAAACCTTGCACATTGGTCTCTGACCAATATGACTAATTGAAGTATTTTCTGGAAGTAAAACTGAAAGTCAGACTAATCTGCAGTGTTTAATCTATACATGTTTTCATAGTCAGGGTTCCTTTCCTTTCTAAGCAAAAATACAGTCTCTAAGGTGACCTAGCATGTTGTTCCCCATGTATCCCCATCAACTATTATGCTGTTTAAAGTTTCACATTATTAAGTATGTGCACAAATTCTTGTGAGCCAAAAGCTCAGGCTAATAATCCAGAGTCCAATCACAATGCAGAGGTTAAAATTGGTCCCCTTTTAGGTCCATTCAATGGTTTTTCTAATTGTAAACACTCCTCGTGATCTTTATCAGGAGATACAAGTCTGCATAATGCATTTATTTTTCTTGTATCATAACTAAATTTAGTTTTCCTAATACAGAGCGTTTTTTATTGTGAAACTACGTTTTCAAAACAGATCAAAGGTCAACTTGTGGCTTCTCAGAGGCTTTAATCACGTCTCTTTTCAGGTGCCATACTGTACACATTTACACATGCTACACATGAGCAGCATTTCAGTCTTTTATGAAAACTGAAGGAGAAAAATTTAACGTTTTAGGCATTTAATCATTTGTCCAAGTTCAGTCGTGAGCTCAAATATTCATTTTGATGAAAAATAAACAAAAGCTATTGTTGACTAAAAATAAACTTGCAGACAAATTTAACAACTGATAACCAAAACTTATCTCTGTAAATAAAAACTCAGTAACTGGGCTTTTTTTTCTTTTTCAGAAGTTTCACAGATGCATGTTTTATGTCGTCTCACGTGGGGCCACGTCCCCGTTTTAGCACCTTTAAACACTGCAAAAACATTTGGAAACTGAGACTCGCTGATGTCACGAAGCCATAAAGTCACTTTGTGTTGTTGTTTCTGATGAATTTGTTGTTAAGATGATGATGTCATGGAAACAAAAGATGAATAGTGTTTGGTATTTTAGATGGAAGTGAATCCACAGACAAAACAATAAAGAAAATGCATGAAACCGAACCAGATTGTGAGCCTTTTGTGTTTGTGGTGCGAGGGCCGCCGGGAGACATGAAACACTGGAACGGCACAACGAAAGGTGCACACAACCACAAGTCAAAACGCATACACATGCGGAGACATATGGAAGGATTCTGAACTCTGATCACACATCTCAGCAGGTTTAACGATTATTCGTGGAGCTCGGCTGTCAGAAGCCCACCTCCACCCCTCCCCCTGCTTCATCCTCCCCTCCCCCCACCCACTCACTGCTCTGCTGTCACTAAAATAGCTTTAAGGTGTGTTTAGGTTGGACTTTAACCCCTCCGCCTGTTTCGTCTCCTTGGCAACCGTCCAGAGTTCCCTTAATTTGTATCATCTCAATCCCAAGTGCTGCAGCAGTTTTGCCTATTTGCCCCTAATCATGGAGCCTGTTTCCATGGCAAAGTATTTAAATATGCTCTGCAGATCATATTCATGTAACACACCACCAGTGGAAGATGTACATGCGTGTTTGTGTGCATTTCTTTTGTTCCTAAAAGTGACCCCAACCTCGTGGATCACATCTGACGTGGTTTTTAAATTTCATTTTCCAAACATCATCGCTTCTCTTCTTCCATTCTATCCCTCTAATTCCACAGGGAGGGATCTCCTGTTTTCTATTTCATGCTTTCCTTAAAGAGAGGGGGCTTTGTCTCTTATCTTATCAGTGAAGCTTCACGGCTCCCAAAAGCTTTGGCCATGTTTAGAGAGGAAGTGCACACAGCATACTGATAAGAGAGGCCTGTCACTGCACGTATAGCTGTGAGAAATTAAAAAAAAATGGTGTATGAAGAAAGAGGGGGGCACAGATACACAAAGCGTGGATTTTGCCTGTTTTAATTGCTCTACAATGGCACTTTTGGGAGTTTGTGTATGTGTGTTTGAGTCAATGCATGGATGCCTGAGTGCGCTGGGGGAGTTATATAATAGGTATATTCATCTGCTAAATAAAAATTTCAGCAGCCATCACTCTTCCGCTATAAGCTGCAGCTCAAGGATGAGACGATATAGGCAGAAAGGTTAGACATAAACATCACCCCGATACTGGCTGCTTCTTATTCAAATCAGCTGATTCTAAGACCTGCCAGCCAGGAGAGAAAACACGAGTCTGAGAGGAACCGAATTCACACAGACATTTGTCCATTTTTGGAATTAAATGATGAAACCTGAAGATACTAAATGTATTGTTGGGGGAAGGCTTACATTAGAGCTTTACCAGGAGAGAGTCCAGTGTGATCTTGTCATTGCAAAAGCAACCGCAGGGTATTCAAATGAAATAGATAGGGCAGGAAACTCTTAAATACACTGAGGGTATATATTTATCAGGGGGGCCTCTGGGGCTGTTTCCCATTTGTCATCACGTTCATGAACAGCATTTGATGTCAAAATAAAACTTCCTTGCGAAAAACACAAAACCCCGTAATCATTCAACTCGACTATGTTTAATCCCAAAAAACAAAAAAAAGTTGAACAATATGCAAAATATCACTTTATTCTCTGGATACTTTGCTTTACAACACATGGTAAATTAAGTCACTGACTGCGAGAATGTTGGTTCCAGGAGCTTTTATTAAAAGTCACCGCATCAACCTTCATGCCCATGCTTTTCAAATACACTTAGAGTCTGTGAGAATCAGTTTGAGTCTATTAACGTTCATAGTGTTGCTATAGCCTGTATATAAATGATGGACCAAGCCACCGGAAAACCCGCCTCGGGCTTATCATCTTTGCTATTACTGTCCTGTTGTGAGTGGTAATGCTGTATGCTCACAGGCTAATGACTTGTCAGCCGCATGGTAGCATCTCCTGGTTTAGCCTCCTTTTTCACCTTAACAGCAACCATAACCTACAAAACCAGCGTTGTGTTTTACTCAGTAAGATTTCAAACTAGGGACACAGATCATGAACTCTTCAGAAAAGGGTTGTGAGGTCACAGATCAGGTGAACCAACAAGTCATTTTTATCAAACTATACAATTAGATGCAAGAGTCACCCTCTACTGCAGGGGTCTCAAACTCGCGGCCCGCGGGCCATTTGCGGCCCATGTCATCTCTACTTGCGGCCCGCATATTGATGTGAAGAAATATTTTTTTAATTATTATTATATGAAAAATTATTTAATACGACGGCAGAGTGTTACAGGCATGGCCCTTTAAGACTGTAGCCTCATGGGCGGTGTAGTCCTTGCTGCAGGGAGAACATGTGGGACCAACCCTCCCGCTGTGTGTGTGTGAGCGTGAGGGAGGGAGAAAAAGGAGAAAAGTACGAGGTGCTACTGAGTAGAAATTAAAAAGAAATTAAGATTCGACTGTACACTGTGTTCGTGTTTTCCTCCGAAACAAAGTTCTGCTGGAGCAGCCTTTCAATGCCTCTTTCTGTCTGTCGCTAGCAAAGTTGACCCAGACAGTAAAGCTAGTTCCCGGCTACGAGCCCGACACGGAACCCAAAGTATTAGCCAGAGGTCTCCTTACCACGGTTCGGAGCCGCGGACCTGCCCAAGGTAACAAGAGAGTGCAAACATGTTGAGGGATTGGCTGTGTTAGTTCAGTGAGAGATTTATTTGGAAAGAAAACTGTTTTCACTTACAGTCAAAAGCTAAAGTGTACGCTTATGCCTGCATTTTTATTTTGTTAAATACAAACAAAATTGTAGCAAAAGTGCTGCCATGTGTCTGGCCAGAAAGAGCTGTTTATTTGGTAGTTGAATGAAACTACTGTACTATACTGCTTTTTTCTGCTCATCAAATACATTTCATTGTAATGTTGACAAATGAAACTGAAACTGAAAGGCTTCAGATAGCTGAGAGTGAGAAAAAAATTCCGTTCATGTTTGCAATTTTGTCTTGTTACACAATATTTGGAATTAAATAAAACAAACAAAACACTACATTTTAGGAAATATTAGTGGGTGTTTTCGTGTTTGTTTTTTTGTACTACTTGGACACTAAAGTGGCCTCCAATGAGATGACGGTGCCAGAAGTGGCCTGCAGCTCATTTGAGTTTGAGACCCCTGCTCTACTGTGCAGTAGAAAAAATGCATGATTTTGTGGGTCAAGGACACAGGAGGAAAAATAAGACAACTTTAAACTAGAAACCCAGTTGCACCCATTCAATCACAAACTAATGGCAAAATGTCTTCGTCATTCAGTTTTATCACTGTGTTGACACAACAAGGTCACTTTGAAGATGGAAAAGTGTTTGCAAACCTGGTACGGGTCTTTGAAGTAACCATTTGAAAGACAACAAGATCACAACTTCATTGCAGGTGGTTGCAAGACTTTTATTCGTTCTGCAGTTTCTACCAACTGCTTTCCCTGGTCTGACTGTAGTATAAGCCTTGGCTTCCTTTTTCACATCCAGAAGCTATGCTGATGTTTTATATACAGTCTGTGAGTGTTGCATAGATGTCTACTGACAACAAATGGACCTTCTGTATTTTTATTTTCCAGTATGGTGTAAAAAGTAGTACATGCCTTAACGCTGATGATGAGCATACTTTATGCAAAGGGAAACAAGATGTTGTAAGATTTTTGACATTAACATTACAAAATGTGCAAAGAAACACACATACTGGGCTTTTGTGCAGAAGTATTTTACAAGTACTATACATTAACATTCCCCCAAATTCAAAGAGTCTGAGCCTCACATTCATTTCATTCCCTACATGATGAAATCAAGTCTTTATTACAGTTCCCCCTCAGGCTAGTCATCACAGCACGTCTTGATTTTAAGACCAGGACACATTAATTTTATGGTGATATTTTCACATTCAACATGCCGCCGCCTTCTCCCTGCAGGTGCTTCAGGCACAAGAAACAAGAAAAACCGGAGTGGAGCAGATTGCAGTAGGGTGAGAGGGATGGAGTTGCATGTGTAAATGCTGGAGAGGAGGAATAACACTTGGGCTTAGCTAAAACACCAGAGGAGAGGAGAGGATGTAGGGGGTGGGAGTACCAAGGGACATGAAGACATGATATACATATTCAACATCCATCAAGGAAAAAAATCCATACACTGATGGTCAGATAGATGTAATCCATCTCTAGTAGGTTCTAGCAGTAATCTGCGACAAATAGCCTTTTTTGTTTTGTTTTTTTCAGTCCTGAAGAAGGTGCTTGAACTTGGGCATTCAGACTAAATGCACAGTGTAGGTGGAGATTGATAGGGAGAGACAGCAGAGCCTATCCTCTCCAGAAGGTGAGTGCTGTTCCAATGAATTAAAATTCCAACACACACTATTGCTGCATTGAATTCTGATTTCTGGAATTTCTGTTTTTACGCTCATGATGCTATCCTGTATGCCACTGGTCCCACTCCAATCTACTTTCTACAGATTACATGCTATTTTTAGCCGCCAATGGTTAACTTAAAGCTTGTTTTAAACTCCACAAATGCTGAAATATGCATTTCACATGAATATAATCACTGAAGTAGGTTAAGTCTTAAAGCAGCATAAATCAATATAAAAACATGGTTCAATAGTAGAATGTCCTGGTGAAGTCATTTTTGACTCCGCACTTAAAAACGAACTGTGCAGAATAAGATTTCTGCTGCTAGAGGTTCCTCATTCAAACCAACAGTAAAAGCATACTTTAAGATAAAACTAGGATCATGTTGTTATCACCACTGTTGCCTAGTAAAAGTTACCGAGTCAGGCTGAAATCACATCAATGCACATTAATTCTGGTAATGATCAGGTTGCATATTCACTTAAAGAAGTTGCTTTCTAATCAAACAATTGCAACACAATGTTAATTGCTAATATGAACCAACTGTTCATATAGTTCCTGTAGCCTACAATATGTATCAAATTCAATAATAGGGAGGGCCAGAGCTCTTATGATCAAACAATCTTTTTTTACATAATATAAATTGATTATTCAATTTATCCATTATCCATTGCCGAAGCTGCTGCATTAAGCTGCAGCCGCAAGGTGGTTGGTGCCTGCCGTGGTGGTAATCCCCGAACCAAATGGTGGACACCAGAGGTGAAGGGAGCCACCAGGCTGAAGAAGGAGTCCTATCGGGCTTGGTTAGCCTGTGGGACTCCAGAGGCAGCCGACAGGTATCGACAGGCCAAGCGGAATGCGGCTCGGGCAGTGGCTGAAGCAAAAACACGGGTGTGGGAGGAGTTCGGAGAGGCCATGGAAAAAGACTTTCGGACTGCCTCGAAGAGATTCTGGCAAACCGTCAGGCGTCTCAGGAGGGGAAAGCGGTGCTCTACCTGCACTGTGTATAGTGCTGGCGGAGCGCTGCTGACGTCGACTGAGAAAATTGTCAGGCGGTGGAAGGAATACTTCGAGGACATCCTTAATCCCATTGACACGTCTTCCGAGGAGGAAGCAGAGTCTGGGGATGAGGGGAATGACCCGCCAATTTCCGGGGGCGAGGTCACTGAGGCAGTTAAACAACTCCTTGGTGGCAGAGC